TGAAAAGAAGAAAATTGAATAAAAATATAAAAAATAAGAAAGAGCTGGTACATGAAACAGAATACACACCAAATGTCATAGTTGTGTCCCAAAAACTTATTTAGGGAAATTTGTCTTTTGATAAGAAATTATTAGCTTAGTTAAGTCACGAAGATTAAAACTGTTGGCATCCGACCTTCGAGGTCATCGAATGTTGTTTAGTGTATGCAATAAGCTTCATCTAATTTGAGTTCAGTGTATGAGGTCAGCTCAAATTATGTCGTCTATCGAGGCCGAAGGGAACATAATAATGGAAGATTTCTTTCACACTATACTAGCAGTCAATCAGTAAGTGGCATATGGACGATCTTACATCAGCGTCCGCCAAGTCTACCAATCATATATTTTACCTTCCTTCTCTAAGTAATTGATTAATTGCTGGGACCATCTATGAGGTTAAACTCATGATGACCTGACAAGTTGAGCTCGCCAATCAATCCAAACATAGAAAGTGTACATTCTCAACTCAGTACTATAAATGATAAGATAGGAAATGAAGGATACATGCAAATTTTCCCCTATAAAGGGGAGAAGGGAAAGCAAAAGAAGGAGGAGAACGGACTTCTACTTAAAAATACTTCTACATTTCATATTTCAAATATCTCCTTCAAAAGAAAAAAGGATTATTGGGATATGATTCTTGTAACCTTTGGCTTACAATCAATGAAACTCTTGTTTTACATCCTAAGTTGACTTGAATTTTGTCCATACAATTTACAATGTCAACAAAAACAATCAAAATTAAAGGAGAATCATTGCTTATTGATATGTTGAACTGCAATTAGTGATGTTGACCTAAACTAGATAGATGAGGATAATATAAAATTCAACCTTATATCACACACTTGAAAAAAAGAAAAAAAAACAAGTTTCGAGGTGTGAATCTCACGAGTGAGGATACGAACATATATGAATATTAATGGTCGGGAATGGACCAACTTGTGAATTCATGATACTATGCTTAATTCGTTACACACGCATGCTGACTTTGCATGGGAAAAGTAGAATTTGATTTCTATATTGTGATCTTGAACCAGTGGTTAGACTTAATGTCGTGATTTCAATTATGAGATAAAATGCAGGGTTAGCTAGCTAAATTTTTTGCAGGTTTGTTCAAGTTTGGAGATTTGATAACTGTGTTTTATAACTTATTCGACATTTTAAATAGGAAAAATTGCAGCCACGGTACCAAACCTTTCGGATTTCTGTATACTTTGCCCAAACCTTTGTTTTGTGCCACCCATGGTACCAAACTTTTAAAAAACTCGCACCTACAGTCTAAATTGACGGTTTCCATCCAATTGACTGTTAGTTGACCAAGAATAGTAAATTTAATCAAATTTTAAAAGGGCAAAATGATAACTTTCATTTTTCATATAAAAAGAACTAAAATAAAATAATTAAATCAAAAACCAAAAAACTCTATTATCATCTTCAACCACTCCACCCAACCCCACCTTACCCCCACCCAACCCAAAACCAAAATTGTCGTCACCACCACCGCCGTCGCCTCCTCCCACCACCACAACCGTCGTCGAAAAGCTAATTTGCATATAACAATGGCAAGAAAAATGATGGGTTTTGTAGATATTGAGTTTGGTACTGGTTTATCGACATCTATGGAGTGAAAATGGAAGCCACCATTTCTGTAAAACCAAATGGAGTTGTAACGGGTCCAAGATTGTTGGGCACTGAAGAAAAAATATTATTCTGAGAGTTGGGGAACTTGAAAATATTTGAATGGTTTGAAGATGAATTCGAAAACAAACCAATATTTTCAAGGTTGGATTTGTTGTTGGGGGAACTAGAGTTATGCATAAAATTTGAACCAATCTGTCCAATTGGGTCCGTACCAAAAACTTGATCCACCACCCTAAAACCACCGTTGAACTCGAACACCGCTGTGGGCGGCAGCGGGGTGTCAGTCCCAAATTGAAAAACCTTGATCATGCTGATTTTCGGGTCATCCACATCCCCCAAGATCCACCGCAGAATGGACCGTTCTTGGCTTGGCGAGGTGACGGCGGACTCCGAAACACGCTATCCCACTCGTCCATAGCACATTTTCTGGCGACGACGGTCCCAATCTCAAGAGATGGAGGAACAGGCAGTAACTCAGAATCAGCTCCCCTATTAGTGCTAGTGGCAGTAGTTGAGTCTTTCTGCCATTTCAAGGATAGGTTTTTCTTAGTGGTGGTGGGAGGAGGAGGCGATGGTGGTGGTGGTACTCGGAGAAGGCGACGGGGTGGCGGTGGTGGTTTTGGGTTGGGTAGGGTAGGGTGAGGTGAGGTGAGGTGAGGTTGGGTGGGGTGATTGGAGAATATAATAGGATTTTTTGGTTTTTGATTTAATTATTTTATTTTAGTTCTTTTTATATAAAAAACGAAATTTACCATTTTACCCTTTTAAAATTTGATCAAATCTACTATTCTTGGTCAACTAAAGATCAATTAGACGGAAACCATCCATTTGAACTGTAGGCGCGAGTTTTTTAAAAGTTTGGTACCATGGATGATACAAAATAAAAGTTTGGATAAAGTCTGCAAAAATCTGAAAGGTTTGGTATCGTGACTGCAATTTTCCCTTCTTATTTCTCCAATCTATTTGTTTATCAACTCATAATGTGTTTCCAACAAAAGAAGTAAGGATCCATTTGATTGACAAATATAGAAAAACTTTCCAATTCTATATAAGTTAAAAAATAAAAACCCGAATACCCCATAAAAATTCATTTTCCATGATACTGACAAAAAATAAAATTAAAGTAATTATACCTTAAAATTCGAACTTCATTTCTACTTTCGTATCAAACAGTCGAAGTAAAAATTGAATTCCTGGGATATGACATTTTCCATGAAATTTAAATAAATCAAAAGAACCCTAAAGGTTATAGTTGTTTCTATTAATAAAAAATAATTTATTTTCAAAATAAATGCAAACCGACAATTCTACTTGATACAATTTCATGCAATTTCTACTGATTTAGTCGCAGTGATCTTTTGATTGCTTAAACGGAGTTATATAAGAAAGCATTCATCCAATTCTAAACATATTGAAAATGAAACTCCCATTTACTTCTAATGAAAATAAAGTGGACCATATTAACAGTTGGGAATTAGTGCTTTATTACATATAAAGCAAACACAAGACAACTGCAAGAAGAAAACTCTTTTTGATGAGCTGTGCAAAGACAAAAGAGGACATGTCTGTCTGTCACCTCGTATTGTTTAATGACACCAATATTTATTTAANGTATTGTTTAATGACACCAATATTTATTTAATAAAGACATGTCCCTATGTTAATCAACAGCCTTAAACAACAATTCAGCAGGGGTATTTCAGACTTTTTACTCAGCAATATTTTAACATCTCAAACCCTAAACGGAGAACTTTAAACTCTTGAAGTCTCCTAATTATAAAAATTTCATGTGTAAAGTAATCTGACTTGACAATACACATACATGTAAAACAAACAATCATCACATATTTATAACTGTTTAAGTTTTTAGATGAATCTGTACGTTCAGCAGAAAACAGATCTTTAAGCCCTCGTATCATCACACAAGTACACAAATGCATGTACAACACATACTAGCACTCGCGCAGCCGTGCAAAAATGGGCATAATCGCTTTAAATGACGGTTTAAAGATGTACATTAAAGTAATGAATAAAGAACACCCAAGCAGATGTAAGAAAGAGTTTATTAATATGGGGGTTGTCCAACAGTACAAGTCCCATGTGATTAGATTAGGGAAGGCTATTAAGAAATTAATCAGGCCTACGAGCAACAAATTCAATGCATTATAATACAAATGTTAGCATTCATAGTAATGTGATGCACTAAGAAAAAAGACGAGAGAATTATTAACAAATGCTAAAACTAATATCATAATGCAGACACACAGGAATAATTAAACTAGCAACCGTATTGAAAGAGCGCGTAATTCTCTAGATACATATACTATACCGATTTTTGGCCAACATCCGATGGCTAAGACCTAGAATACCTGAAACCAAAGGATACTATCTCACATTTACTGTCCAGAACAACGCCATTTTTCATGGCTAAGACGGGCCAATAAGAATACAGTTCAAAAGAAACGCCAAAAGTCCAATTCATTCTACTGGCCAAATGTCAAACCGAACTAGAAGATGATTACAGGGAAAAAGGAATCTGTTTGCATAAGACAGAGTTAAAATGATCATATAAAACAAGAGGCAAAACAATGATGGATGGATGTTTAGTTAGAACAAAAGCAGAATATTGTATATAAATGACGAATACTGGATTCATAAATTATATGTATTCCAAGGAATATCACGGAACAAGAAGATTACCAAAACGAAATACAGACAGCAAGAAAGAAGATTTACAAAATTATATGATTGACAGATACTTGATATATAAGATGACAAAAGATAAGCCTTTAAATCCGAAGGTAGTCGATAGTTTTTGACAAATTCAGTGCTATGGGGAGAAAAACGAAAAAGGCTGTCATGAATCAAGATCCCACATTAAGATATCAAAGTCCATAATTTCATGCAATCTAAGCTATCCTATCAAATCAAAATGTGAAGATCCAGTTACAGCACAAAAAAAAGATTTAGTTGGAGTTAATTCTTCTGTTTTTCCAGTTCTTGTTTTGATCAGCGTCCAGTGTAATGGTTACAAACAGAATTATGGAATTAGAAACAATTGATGTGTTTCACCATCAAAGCACGAGAGCACCATACAGTAACACCCCGTTCAACACAAAAAATTGAAATAACGGAACCGTATTAGAACATCCAGTACTATAATGTCTGGTTCATTTAAACTTGGAAACAATCTGCCTAAGCCACGTAGAAAATAGCAAAGGGGAATTTCAGGCAAGAAATCTCAAAATGTTCCGAGGGATTAAAACAGTGATCTGTGGGCACCTTAGCAATAAGTCTGAATGCGAAATATACTCATAGTTTTAGCATCTCCAAGCCGATGCAGAGATGAGCTCCTTCTGTTGCCAGCAGAGAACAAGTGAAGACTGCCTTTTCTCTACGTTGAATCCTCGAACAGGAGTCCTCTTCACCACACACTCAGCTTGCGATTCTGTGAAATTGCTAAATGGTATGGGGGAGAATCCCGATGACAAAAACAAAGTCCTCCAATGCTGTGTCTTTTCAGGAGCACAAAAACGCCCCATTACAATTTTCTCAATTCCAGGTTGAAGCAAGAACCTTTCAATCTTTGATAGAGCATCTGCATTCACATTGACAGCATCTAGAGACTCAAGAAGGTTCGAATAGGATTGAAGAGCATGAATTATATGATTGGGAAACGGTAGGTCAATCCTATCGCATCCTCTATCCACAGAAACCACAATTTTAGGGGACAGATGCTTAACAAAGCGAAGAACCAATGGTACTGATAATTGATAACTGGCAAGGGAGCCAACTGGGAGATTCACTGCTATCGCCTGATTCTCAGATACTTGAAATGGCAGAGACCATGAACCAGAATTCAAAGAATCAATGCTCATAACCTCAAACTCAAGCACAACATTGATTTCATTAGCAAAATGAATTAGATTTTCCCGAGTGAGGCTGAGCTCTAGCTGATCGTGAGTTGAGGGAGTAGTAAACGCAGTGATTTTAAGAGAGGGTGGACCCTCACTCCTTAATGCAAGCTCCTGAATTAGTGAAGCCCATTGCCCACCATAACCAATATCAAAATCCACAACATGAATTCTATCAAATCCTTCCAGGACTTCAAGGAGGGCTTGGTTGCAAGTAAAATTGGCAAATTGTACAAGCGGTGAGATCTCAGAGAAAGATTTGTAGGCACCAATCTTGAAAATGAGACTAAAAGGCGATGCAGTGGCCGTAGAGGGAATTGTTTTGTTGTTATTATGAATAGTAAATTGCAACGCCTCTTTGCAATAGAAAGCAGCCCTATGGAAAGGCTTACCAATGGGAGAGAGCTGGTGATTGAGCCGCGCCAATATCTCTTCTGCAAGTATTAAATTCCCCATTTGGACCAGCTCTGTGGCCTTGTAAAGCTGATCAATTATAGCCTGTTGTTGCTGTTGCTGTTGCTGATGGCAATATGCTAAATCATCCCCACCCATTTTCGGCTTCTGTCCTGGTCCCATTGCAGCGGGTAGCCTTTGCTGCAGATAATGGGGAAGTAACTGAAGCTGACGAGACATTGGCTGCTGGTGCTGGACTTGTCTTCCCATTAACAGCTCTTGCCCGGGAACTGAAAACTGCCCTTTCGGTATTTGACAGCCTGGCTCGAGGCCTTCTCCAACAGCCCCTGGGTTGTGTTTTGCCTGGGGTGGCATGAATAGATTCTGTTCCTGCTGGTTTGCATATGACAATGGCAAGAAAAATGATGGGTTTTGTGGATGTTGAGTTTGGTGCTGGTTTATCAACAACTGTGGGGTGAAAATGGAAGCCTCCATTTCTGCAAAACCAAATGGAGTTGTAACGGGTCCAAGATTGTTGGGCACTGAAGAAAAAATGTTATTCTGAGAGTTCGGGAACTTGAAAATATTTGAATGGTTTGAAGATGAATTCGAAAACAAACCAATATTTTCACTGTTGGATCTGTTGCTGGGGGAACTAGAGTTCTGCATAAAATTTGAACCAATCTGTCCAACTGGGTCCGTACCAAAAGCTTGATCCACCACCCCAAAATCACCGTTGAACTCAAACTCCGACGTGGGTGGCGGCGGGGCAGTCCCAAATTGAAGAACCTTGTTCAGGTTGATTTCCGGGTCATCCACATCCCCCATGATCCACCGCATAATGGACTGTTCTTGGCTTGGCGAGGTGACGGCGGACTCCGAAAACACGCTCTCCCACTCGTCCATAGCACATTTTCCGGCGGCGGCAGTCCCAATCTCAAGAGATGGAGGAACAGGCAGTAACTCAGAATCAACTCCCCTATTAGAGCTGGTGGCAGTAGTTGAGTCTTGCTGCCATTTCAAGGATGGGTTTTTCTCGTTATTTCCTGAAACCGCCGCCACCACGGCCGTGTCAGTGGAAGCAGCCCCACCACCAGCTATGGCTCCGCCGCCGCCTAAAGATGAAGACAGAGTTGATGAAGATGTAGATATAGCCCTGCTGGGACTACTTGCAATATCAAGTACAGATGCAGGTTCACTGCAGCTATTCAAACCACAATTATCGTTCAAAATATTGCTCTCCCACCAAGATGAATTAGCCCTAAAATTATTATAATTGAAAACAAGGATTTCTAAATCCACCCCCTTCCCCTCAAATTCAAAGGGTAAGGGCATCCCCTTCATCTAATTATCAAACCCAGAAACTCAAATCCTCCCTCCAGCTTTAAAATACAAAAGAACAGTTATTGGATCCAGAAAGTCAAGAATATGTATACATGCATGTATGTGTGTATATATATAATTTTTTTTTTTGGTAGAATCCGAAGAGAAAATGTATGTTGTGCAGTAGATAATGGGTATGGAAGAGAAATGGGTAAAGTTTTCTTCTTCTTTTCTTGTTCAGTCCATATAGACTAGACTAGTACTCTCCTCTCTGCCATGGCTGCGTGCAACATAAAAAAGTAGTAAAGTGCCCTCATCTATTCATCTTCTCTCTCCCTCCCTCCCTTCCTCTCTCTCCTCGTTACTTTCTCTTTTTTGGGTTTTTTGTTTAACAATTTGAGTTAATTTGTGTGGGCTTGCCACGCAATTATCTTTAGAAAAATTACATAAAATCAGGGGTTTAGTTTGACATTTTTAAAAATCAGATTTATTGTTTTAAAATTCAGATTTTAAGTTTATTTTTTCAAAAATCAGGTAGTATATTAAATCCCTAATTCCTAACCTAATTTATCCACCATTCCCGTCACCTCCCTTTCTCCCTCCACAATTAAATATTTATTTAATTAATAAAAACCTGATTTTTACAATTTTAAAATTTAGCACCTGATTTTTTATTTTGACAAAGATAATACTTGATTCATAAATTTTTCCCATTATCTTTGGAGCTCAGCTAGGTTACGATTTCTTCTGTCCATGTCCAGCCCCAATTAGCAGATATGGCACGCCTTTCTCCAAATCAATATAGGATTGACAATGGGTCAAGTCCAGTTCAACTCGGTTCTAAGGTTGTGGACTTATGAGCTGAGCTGAATTGAGCTGACTTACGAGCACATTAATTTCTTTAACGTTTTTTTTTTTTAATTGAGCTGACTTACGAGCACATTAATTTCTTTAGCGTTTTTTTTTTTTGAAAAATCTCCTTTTTTAGTGCTTAGAATCGACTGCTTTTATTGTGGCGGAATTAAATTTGTACATGAAAAACTTATTATATACAATTTTTTAAAAAGTGAATAATATTACAAATTATGATGAACTCAATTATTATTTACTTGATCAGATAGTATTTTGACATTTTATCTTGGATTCAGTACTCTCTGTCTTCCAAATCAACTATGTACATTAAGCTCTTAAGTATATTTTCTCTGAGTATGATCTGTACTCAGATAAAATTGTCACCTACACAAAAAGCAAATGTCGATGTTATAGTACTAATCAGATGTGTCAATAGATCATGTACTATTAGAGAACAATTGGATATTGATGCTCGTTAGTTCTCCAAATTTAAGTAAGTTTAAACCTATTGCATTTATCGGCTCTACCATTTTAAGCATGTTGTGAGTGAAATATCTAATTAATTATATTGGTATATTACTTGCACATACATTCAATGTTCTTTGAATTTTCCCAAGTACCAACCATTATTAATAATGTTAACTCGGGGTTATCCATTGATTTTGAGAAATGCTATTCATCCCACTGGGGATGCATCCTCAGTTTATGTGGCGTTAATGTGGTATTAAATGATAGGTGAAATTAATCATTTAACCAATCATTTACATCCACATAGACTGGGGATGCATCCCCACTGGGGATCGATAGCATTTTTCATTGATTTTACATTAGCACTAGGCATTTATACGAGCAATCGTCTAACATTTGTGAAGGATCTTTTGACATACATTTCACATAAACAACTCATATGTAATAGAAGTTTCAGAATTTAATGCATTTGAGATTTGGTTTATAACAAGTTTTGCATCCTCTAAATTGTACATTAGGGTTCATTATATATATTTTCCCAACATTTTCTAAATTTAATTTTCATCGCAACTAATATATTTCTTACTATAAACAGGATCAATTCTATAATTTCTGAAATTTAATGCAATAGAATAAAGATAACCAAGAACGTTAAGTCTAGTAAGATAACATACGTCTGACAATTTATTAGTGGCGTAAAATAAATAACTTTCAAAAAATTTCTCACTTTAAATGCAATTTTTCAATCGTAATCTTGTAAATTATTTTCTATGTCGTGTGCATGTCAAAAGTTGTAAAATTCAGTAATAAGAGCTTTGTATCCTTCACAAGATTTTAGCAAATGGTAAGCTGAGTTCTATCTATAACCTATTTTGATGATAAATATTTTGCCTTCCATTTCGTGTTCATTACAAAATTATGAACAAAATTATTTTCTACTTGGTGATATTATAATAAAGATTAGTGCATTCCTAATTCTATTGATCTTATCACTAATAAATTTTAGCTCATCTTGCATAATCAAATTAAAAATATGACAAACACAATTTATCAATTACTGTTTTATTAACCGATGCACTGTCAAACGTAAAACTAAGAATTTTAATCTCACATTAAAAATATTATTAACATTATGAGAAAATTCAATTGAACTTTAAAGCAATAATTCTTTAAGCATCCATAATTGAAATATATAGCGAGTAGTTGTAGCTATGTAATCGTTTTTATAATTGCCTCTCACGAGTCAGAATAAAAGATATAACAACACCAAATTTATTTAAATCACGCATTAAAATTTTATTTTTATTGTGATAAGCTATAGAATCAAAACGAATAATGTTTCTCGTAATTGGTCTGTACTTAGATTGAAGATATTGTTATATGAATTTTGTGAACTATGAGTTATCCACTATGCTAAGTGAATGCTCGCCACTTGATACGATCGTAAGCATGCCTTCATGCATGTGTCTCATTTGAGTAGATCCAAGTGGTAAGTGAACTAGAACATATATCGAGAGAACCAAATTGAAGTTGAGTATGATCCGTAGCTCTATGTTTGACCGAACATTTCTTGTAATGTCTGTTTAGGCTAGATGGTTATGATACCTTTTACAATGTTAATCATTTTTTTATTTTTATTTTTTTGACAGTATTTACATACTACTTTATAATCTGGCTTTCAATTTACTTGGACACGTGATCACCTGTTTGAAGTGTTCCCAACAATTAACAGTTTGTTGTCTTTGTTCTTTGTACACTAGTAGAGTCTGTTATAAGCAGTTCTTTTTGTTCTTTATATTACCCAAATTAATTGGATCAGTATTCCAATGCACGTTTTCGTCGCCTAAATAAGTGGGAATTGAAATGTCATTAAGACCACATTGAAATCGTGATCGAGAGGGGAGATGAAGCTAGAGCTACAATTTGTAGTGTGTTGGTGTCGACACCAAACATATCTTTGATCTCAATATTCACCGAATAGCTCATGTTTGGCCCTCATTTTTTCAAAACTCATTTTTAACCACACATTTTTCCATAAAAAAATTTACACGTAAATCGAAAAAAAAAATTTATTTTTTAACTACACATTTTTCAAAAAATCACTATTCCAAAACACATTTCTCTTTAAAATGAGGCTCAAAGAGGGGGTGTGGTCCATTTGAAATTTGAATAAAATATGAAAATGGAATAAGAAGGTAGAAAGAATGTAAATATATTAAGTCGAATTAATTGCACAATGAAGGAAGAAATTGGTAGAAGTAGAATATAAATGAAGTCATGAACTAATTTTATAGAAATTGAATTTCTATAGTTGTATGAGAAATTTAGAATGTAGATTGCAGATAGGTGTTGTTTGAGAAAATGAATTGAAAAGAGAGGGTATTTATAGAGAAAAAATTTATAATTTGGTGCACTATGCAGCATACTCATAGAACACCTTTTTACTAATTTCTAATTTGATGTGTTCAAAAGTCAAGCGAGTTGATTCAACTCACACATTTTGTACAATTAATGAGAAGATATCACGATCATTTATTTATGAATTTCAATTAAATTATTTTTATATAAACTATAGTGAAGATAAATGTGAAAATAAATAAGTGACTATGCAAGACAATTACAAATTCTCGAGTATCTCAATTACGGGCTTCGTCTTTTATATTCGAAAGTGTTAATTTTCTATTTAGAATACTTAATTTCTGCAGTGGAATTCATCCACCCAAAAAAATTGTTTGCCTAAAAACAAAACGTATAGAATGTTGACTTGAAAACAATGATTTAATTGACTCGTCTTGATAGAAAGTTGTGTTCGACCCGTTTGGTGTGTGTTACGTTGAAACCAGCAAGCGTACGATATCGTTATATAAGTAATAGAAATAATGAGTTTCAATTTATCGTTCTCACAAGAATAACATCTAATGTTTAGTTCAATAACTTTTACTAAATTCGAGTGTGCATGACATCCAGAGAGTGATTTGTTTGGTTTTCTATACTACTTTTACTGCACTAAAGCAATAAAGGTGAAGTTTTCAAAGGTGAGATGCTTGTATTGAAATCCTAAGTCCCCCCTATTGTCATTTATTTCAACGCTTGGTTCATACTATAGTTAATTTGATGCAGTTTGACAATAGATAATGCTAAATTATTCAATGCTCTTTTTCAAGACACACGAACCTACGATTAATACAACCCAATTTTATTCATAATCTGAATTCATATCAAAATCATGCAATTAGTTTAGGTTATCCAAGTGATTGCATGTGTGAAAGAGATTATTCCTAATTAACACTACAATAAGCAACTTATTATCAAATTGGTAGCTAAGCAATCAAATAATTATGATGGTAATGGAAAACTAATTAAGAAAATCAAGAAATATTAAATTAATCGTCTTGAATTAAAATAAATGTGCAAAAGGGTTCATTGATCATCTAATACAATGAAGAAACCTAGCCTAATATCCCATTGATTGAATTATACATCAAAGGAAATAATATCACCCAGAATGAAGAATTATGGAAGAAAGTTTCTTGATCTAAATCTTGAAAAGGGATCAACAATCTTGCAATAATCCGCATTTGAATTGATGATTGGTCTGGTTCTCCGCTTCCAAAATAGATGAATTATGTAGAGTTTCCGGTCTTGGGTGGTTCCCCCACGTTCTGGATGGATTCTAGGTTATAAAGGATGCAAAGATATCATACTAAAAATTGTTGAAACAAGAAAATGAAATAAATCTTTCTCCCAACTAAAATGCTATGCGTACGCATGGTATCAATTAAATGTACGCATAGTAGAATGATTTAAACTTCAATTGGCCGATAATGGGATCTCGCGTACACATGGCATGTAGGCTTATGCGTATGCATAGCTTTACATTTTGGGTCTAATTGTGCAAATTGGTCCTTGGACTTTTCGCAATGTATTCTGATCCCTTTCACTTGATTTCGCCATTTAGCTTCCAATTGTCTCCAATTGAGTTTGTAGCATATTCACTCTTTATTTTAGGGAAATTGTAGCCACGATACCAAATCTTTCAGATTTTTGCAGACTTTGCCCAAACCTTTGTTTTGCGCCACTCATGATATCAAACCTTTAAAAAAGCGCACCTACAGTCCAAATGAACGGCTTCCGTCCAATTGACCGTTAGTTGACCAAGAATAGTAGATTTGATCAAATTTTAAAAGGGCAAAATGGTAACTTTCATTTTTCATATAAAAAGAACTAAAATAAAATAATTAAATCAAAAACCAAAAAACCATATTATCTTCTCCAAACACCTTACCCTCACCCAACCTAAAACCAAAACTGCCGACACCACCACAGCCGTCGCCTCCTCCTCCCACCACCACCGCCGCCTCCTCCTCCTCCTCCCACCACCACGAAGAAAAACCCATCCTTGAAATGGCAGCAAGACTCAAACTACTACCACTAGCTCTAATAGGGGAGTTGATTTTGAGTTACTGCATGTTCCTCCATCTCTTGAGATTGGGACCGTCGCCCCGGAAAATGTGCTATGGACGAGTGGGAGAGCGTGTTTTCGAAGTCCACCGTCACCTCGCCAAGCCAAGAACAGTCCATTCTGCGGTGGATCATGGGGATGTGGATGACCTAGAAATCAGCCTGAACAAGGTTCTTCAATTTGGACTGACTCGCCGCCGCTGCCCACATCGGTGTTCGAGTTCAACGATGGTTTTGGGGTGGTGGATCAAGCTTTTGGTATGGACCCAGTTGGACAGATTGGTTCAAATTTTATGCATAACTCTAGTTCCCCCAGTAACAAATCCAACCGTGAAAATATTAGTTTGTTTTTGAATTCATCTTCAAACCATTCAAATATTTTCAAGTTCCCAAACTCTCATAATAACATTTTTTCTACAGTGCCCAACAATCTTGGACCCGTTACAACTCCATTTGGTTTGCAGAAATGGAGGCTTCCATTTTCACCCCACATATATTGATAAACAAGCACCAAACTCAACATCCACAAAACCCATCATTTTTCTTGCCATTGTCATATGCAAACCAGCTTTTCGACGACGGTTGTGGTGGTGGGAGGAGGCGACGGTGGTGGTGGTGCCGACAGTTTTGGTTTTGGGTTGGGTTGGGGGGAGGTGGGGTGGTTGGGGAAGCTAATAGGGCTTTTTGGTTTTTGATTTAATTATTTGATTTTAATTTTTTTTATATGACAATAGGAAAGTTATCATTTT